CTGAAATATATGAGTATCCACTGCCAGATAGTGGAATAAACAGGTAATCTGGGGTCAGATCCTGGGATAAAGGGGCAGTGTGGAAGGGCCCTCAAACAAAGGCATAGAGTTACATTGAATGGATTTGCTTTGAGGATAATGGGCTTTTCTTCTTCAGGGATTTTTAATAGAAGTTGGTGTGTATTCTTGCATGGAAGAGAGTTGGACAAGATGATCACTGTGAACCCTTCTAGCTCTATAATTCTATGAAGCCACAACCATAGTTGAAGTTGTGCATGCATAGCTTGACTACCTTAGTTAAAAACAAACCTGTTTTAAACTTGTTTTATTTATTTTTTAAAAAAAATTAAGCTGAACAGTGAGATTCAGCTTTTTATCTTTTTCACTTAAAAAAACAAAACATCTAGAGTCAAATCAATGGGAAAATGGAAGCACACACCAGCGCATTGGCATCCTGATTTGGGATGCCTATATCAAGTGTACACTCCATGGGACACTGAAAATACGACCAAATAGTCAGTGTAACAGGCACTTTCGTATAAGGGGGAATGTGAATCATAGATTGCTGATAAAATAGAAAGAAATAAACCTAACGTATTTTCTAACGTTATAGAGAATGAAATCTATTAGATAACATATATTGCTTTTTGCTCTTTTCCTTCTTTCATCTCTCCCCCACCTCTCTCTCTTTTTGTTTGACCCAGGGATTGCATACCTCCACAATAAGAATTGCATTGCTTATTTTTATTTTGTTCAGAAATAGATATTAGTCATTTCATAAGGCCCACTTTAGATGAAAACAACCTGGAGGAATGTCATTTCATGCTAAAGTACTGTCTTAGTACTAGAGATTATCTCCCTGTGTTTGCTACTCTCTAGCAATAAAGCACACTGCCCTGAACTTTGAATACTCATTTGTCAGTAGGTTTTACTTTATTCTGCCTAGATCGACAATTTCACCTTTAGGGAAAAAACATGGAGCACTGCCTTCTAAGACAAGTTATTAGATCTTCAACAATTGTATGTGCTTCTGCAACAGAGGCACACTGCTCTGAAATCTACAGAACAGTTAGATGCAGTGCTGTAAAACATCTTTCATAGGTTTTCACTAACAGTTGGAGCTTTCTTATTATATGAATGAATTGTCCTGTGCAAGAGACAAAATTAACAGGAGCTTCTGGAAACAACCACTGAGACGAGGAATCACTGAAGTTTTCATCATTAATCAGAAAGAATAGAGGCATTCCCCTTGCTGGCTGGGTGAGGCAAGTTATTGGACACAGGCAAGTAAGGTCTTTGGTAGGCAGGTTAGACTTGCAAACCAAAAGTGTACCCTTGGACTCTCCAAAAGAATACATGAACACAAATCTGACATCAAAAACTAGGACTATACAAAAGTTTCGGATGAATCACAGATAATGAATTAAATCAGACTCATTCAGATCATTTGTACAAGTATCATTACATTATATTGGCATTATATTAGCACAATTTTCTTTCAGGGAAAACCACATCATCATCAGTGATCACTCTTCTGAGTATGAATGTTTTCCAAGTGTAAGGTCTTGGGAATGGGTTTTGGGAATGGGTCCATAGATGACTTTAGAGACTTATTCTTCACCCATGTGTTCTTCTGCAATGAGGACATCAATATCTGCTGGAAGACTGTCCCAGTCAGGGTTGGCTTGATGCGCCTTCCCCTTCACACGTTTCTCCCTTTTATCATCCATTCATTCCTCTTCAAATTCCACTAACTGGAGGTCACAGCTGACCTCGTTAGAATGCTCAAGGGCCAGAGTTCTCAGTGTCTATGCCACAGTGTTTAAGGTTAACTTTAAACACATCTTTAAATCTCTTTTCCTGCACATCAACATTCATTTTCCATTCTTGAGTTGGGAGTATAGTAACTGCTTTTGGAGGTGGTGATCAGGCATTTGGACAATGTGGCCAGTCCAGTGAAGTTGATGGTGAAGGATCATTGATTCAGTGCTGGCGGTCTTTGCTTCTTCCAACATGCTGACTGTGAAGTCTGGGCCTAGTTTTTACTCCCCCCTGTTTGCTCCCTGGAGTTGGACTGTTCCATTCTGCTAAGTGTTAGAGTAGGAGCTTAGGCTCCCCCTATAGGCCGAGCCATTTGGTTCAGCCCATTCTGGCTCATAGCCTGGTGGAAGGACCTTTTATTCCATTCTTTTTGACATAGTTTGTAGTAGTTAGCCAGAAAGTGTCTGGTCTGGCTTAGCAGTCTGAACAGGCCATCCTTAGGACATATTTGCCTCATAGAATAGCTATATTTGCCATATAGATTAGAATATATTTGCCTTATAGATTACATAGTACATATACATGCCCCAGAGTTCATAGATAATACATACCACATAGAACATAGATACACATGCCTCAGAGACCAAAGTTTATAGATGTACATGCCAGAGACCTAAGCAGTACATGCCCCAGAGTTTATAGAGTACTTACCTCATAGAAAATAGTTTTGTTATTTACCTCAGAGTTGTACCTGATACCTGTTCCTTATTATTCTGATTCTATACCATCAAGATTCAAACTCCACCTTTGTATACCTTGTTTTGATTCGTCTTGATTGTTTAGTAAACCTAATTGGTTAAATTTAGTCTTGTCTCTAGAGTTTTATTTTGGGGGAATTAGAGTAAATACAGGGCATACCGATAGTCACTGGGAAAATAGCCAGACACATATAGCTTTCCCTTAATCTTCCCAGTTGTGCCATCATACTGACATTTGTCCACATGTCTTCCCAAGATATTTGCAGGATTTTTGGAGGCAATGCTGATGGAATCATTCCAGATGTGTGATGTCTGTAGACAGTCCACATTTTGCAGATGTATAACATTATTGAGAGGACAGTAGCTTTATAAACAAGCATCTTGGTATCCCTACGAATGTCCCAATCCTCAAACGCTCCCTGATTCATTCAGAAAAATGCTGCACATGTAGAGCTCAGATGGTGCTGCATTTCAGTATCAATGTTAACTTTTGTGGAGAGGTTGCTGTCAAGGTAGCAGAAATGGCCAACATTTTCTAATGTTACAGCATTAAGCTGTATTTCTGGCATTACAGAAGGATTGGTTGGTGACTGCTGGAAGAGCACTTTGGTTTTCTCAGTGTTCAATGACAGGCTGAGCTTCTCATATGCTTCTGCGAAGGTGTTTAGAGTGACTTGTAGGTCTTCGTTTGAATGAGCACAGACTACAGTGTCATCAGCATATTAGAGTTCTATGACAGATGTTGTTGTGACCTTGGTTTTGACTTTTAGACTGCTGAGGTTAAATAGCTTTCCACTTGTTCGATAGATTATTTCCATGCCAGTGGGTAGCTTCCCATCAACAAGATGCAGTATCATAGCAATGAAATTTGAGAGTAAAGTTGTCATCATGCAGGACCTGCAGGATGTTCACAAAATTGTCAGGGTATCCAATTTTTGGAGGATGGTCTAGAGAACACAAGAAACTCTTACCCAAGTACTGTTTGCTAGAATGCATTTTTAAGGTAATGATTACTGTTTGTATTTATTTACATTTGAGTACCTCCTGGTCTCATTGATCACAGCTTTTCACCAAGACTGCATCTACACTGCCATTTTATCCAGTGTAGGAAACTTGTTGGCCTGGTGTATCCACATGATGCACACAAGGTAATACAATTGAACCTGGGGTAAGCCAATGAATCTGTTAAAAAACACCCAGAAAGGTCCAAATCTTCCTGGAAGATCTGGACATTTCCCCATGTGTCACCGAGATCACAAATCCATATCCATACCACACTCCCTGGACTCAGGCAGCCCACGGAGATGGGATAGCAATGTTTCCCTGTCTTCTGCCCCAACCCTCATTCCTGCAAAAAAAGTACATTAAAACATCTCTTAACATTGCCCCAGGATTTGTACTTTCTGATTCAGCATCATTCTAGCAGCAACAGCAAAGAACACTTTCCTATAGTTTTATCTGGGAATGGGGGTACAGGGAGGATGGGAAACCCAGTCAATGGCCACCCCTGCTGAACCAGATTTCACAAATCTGGGCTGTATGGCTGCCATCCCATCACAAAGGTTTCACATTTTTGTGCCTGTTCCAGTAACATTTTTGCCAGTATGGAAAAGCCCCAAGTCTCCCTCCCCCTCCCTCCCTCTCCCCCTCTCTCCCCTCTCTCCCCCCTCTCTCTCTCCCTCTCTCTCTCTCTCTCTCTTACACACACAAACAACCTCACATGGGTACAACAAACTGCCAACTCAACAACCACTTTCAATGTACCTGGTGAAATGGGCTGTACTCCACAAAAACTCAATTAAATTTCCAGGTCTTCAAGATGCTTCATGCTGTTGTTCATTGTTTTCTGTTGCTGTTGCCACAAAAAAACTAACATTTATCTTCCCCTTCAGTTAGAAATTATCAAAGCTTATACATTCATGAATAAAATAAAATCAGTTAAAATGTAAAACTGAGAAAACAAAATGTTTCAAGAAAACTTTGCTTCATCAATTAAAATACTTTTGACTTTCTTTTTCTACTTTTTCACAAAGTCAATTCATAGTTCCCAAGGAGAAAATGTCCTCTTAAAAACCACTTTGAGCATTGTGTCCTGCCTAAGAGAAAGGGAAAAACTTTATGGTGGATCACAAAAACTCCTTTCTCACTTTTGTAAATCACTACTGGGATGTCAGCTTAAAGTTGATCATACATAAGATTTTTCCCACTTTGTAATGAAGCATATCTAATCCTTTAAAATACATATCCATTCCAAGGTAGATTTCACCAATTGCTCATTTCTTGTAACTTTTTGTATGACTGTCATACATACAATATTCTCCAAAGGGAAGCATTTCCTGTTAAGTCCAGGGGATAAAAATGCTTCAGGAGTTTTAAAGTTCCATTTAGAAGGCATTCACTTGAGCTATTGTTATCACTGATCCTAACATTCATACTGTGCAGCGGAGATCACTGATCCATACCCGTTCATCTATCTTTCAGGATTTGGAGGTAGTTACTGTGAAATCGACAACAATGAGTGTGCTTCCAGTCCGTGTCAGAATCAAGGTCGCTGTGTGGATGGGTTTAACAGTTACAGGTGAGGAAAAACACCCCAAAGAATCACAAATCTCAGTCAGGATTTGGGGAATGTTTCAAACATGGATGGGATTATATGGGTTTTGTTTTTTACTTATGTAATATTTCTGAGCCCTTCAGTTTGCCTTTGATAACTGGGGGTTCTACCACAAGTCTTTCTCAAGCTGTCTAAATTATATTTCTTTGTAAGTTTTAATGATGCCATGAAGCAAAATAAAAAAGTTAAATTATGACACTTTCATTCCCTATTAATTCTCCTGGCATTAAAGATTCTTTGCAGTTCACTCTTTGTCATCTTTCTCTCCAGGTGCCTCTGCAGAGAGGGCTTTTCGGGGACATTGTGTGAAGTAGAGATTAATGAATGTGCATCAAATCCCTGTACAAACAGTGGAACATGCTTAGATCTGATAAACAGGTTTGTGAGAAGAATCAAGCTTTTCTTTCTAATTAAAAAACCATTTCACTTACACAGCACATGCAGATTGTATGAGGCAAAACAGGCACACTATACTGTAATCTTTTACTGCCTATGAAGTAAATAGGCTTTTTATGAAAACATGGATGAAAGTATGGCTGGGGAACCTTGCGTCTCTAGATCAGTGGTTCTCATCCTGCGGGTTCCCAGATATTTTGGCCTTCAGCTGGTAAACTGACAGGGATTTCTGGGAATTGTAGGCAAAAACACCTGGGGATCCACAGGTTGAGAACAACTGTTCTAAATGTTTTGGGCTACCACTTTCACTCCCAGGTGTGTCTCGAGATATCTGGTGGGCCAAAGGTTTATATAAAGATGATGATAGAAGAATAGTGTATAAATCTATCAGCATTCCTAGTTGATAGCAGTAGAATGGACCCTCCAGTATACTCCTGAAACAGAGGGCCTTTTTTGCAGTGACATCCTGGTTAAGCAATTCTCTCTCTTTGGAAACCCAATTGGCACTAACTTTGAAATTTGGCTTTTTATTAAAACCTTCAGGCTAAATTGATTTTATCCAGACAACATATGTTTTATGGTTCAAGATTGTTTTAATCCCTTTTTATATTGTATATTTTCAACTGATAAATGATTCACTATACATCTTTTTAAACATTTATAATGACTTACTATTTAAAATGGGTTCTATGTCTTTATTTTGATATTTAATTTTATTTGATTAGTATAATGCTGTTATTATTTTGTATTATGTTCTATTGCTGTAATGTTTTGTTATACATGGGGCATTGAATGTTTGCCTCTGTATATGTAACTGCCCTGAGTCCACCTGGGGAGATAGAGTGGTCTAAAAATAAAATTTATTATTTATTATTTTATTCTAACCCACCCTGAGGCCTTTGGCTAAAGGGGGAATAATAAATCTATAAAATTCAAAGTGTGTGTGTGTGAGTGTATGTATCTGTTTTTTAACCACAAAGGCTGTTGGTAGGTGAAGGATTGTTGTTGGGTGAAGTGGCCTTTTGTGATGTTACTGGGAAAGAAAGGTGGCAAGTGCATGAGGGGAAGGGAGGGAGGAAGGAAAGCCACAAAGCCATGCTGCCATGGAGACAATGTGTGTAAGCCCTTTCAGGGAGAAAAGCGAGGAAGGGGAAAAAAGAATGGAGGAGGGTTGAGGGGAAAAAAAGGAGGAAAGGAAGGAAGAGAAAGGAAAGAGGGAAATAAAGCAATGTAGAAAGAAAAGAGGAAGGGGAAGAAGGAAAAGGGGGGAAATGAGAAAGAAAAAATGTAGAAGGAAGAGAGGAAGGAGGAAAGAAAGAGAAAGAAAGAAGAAAGTATGTGTGGGGGGAAACATCACTTCTGACACCCAAGGAACACTGGGTATATATTAGGCCTGTGCGGTTTCGTTCGTTAATTTTGTTATTCGTTAAACATTCGTTATTTTTAGCATTTACGAATTGATATCGAAACACTTTTTCAAACCCGGAAGGGTTTAAAAATATCGAAGCGGCATCCCCCATCCTTTTAACGAGCTTCCGCCCGTTTCGGAAATTGGATGGAGGATGCTGGTGCCTGGGAGCCAATCCGGCGCTCCCAAGCACCCAAGCAGTGCACCGTGGCTGATTTTGATTGGCCGGCAAGGCCTTTAAAAGCGGCTCCGCGTGGCCGCAGAGCTCATTTGCGCGGAGGCGAGGGAGGAGAGAGGTCCGGGACGGGAGGGCTGCTTGCTTTGGGTTGGCTTAGTTGGTTGCGGTAAAGACTTGCATTGTTGGAAAAGACTCTTCTTTGTTGGAAAAGACTCTTCTGTTGGTGTTTGCTCTCGACTGCCCTGTCTTTTGGCTGTGTTAGCTGTTCATCAGGGCCATTTTTGGGTTGATTTTCCATTTTTGAATATTTTTAAAAAATACCTGTCTTTTATTCTTTAAAAAAATACAAAAAATATTCTAAAAAAAGAGAAGACTCTTCTGTTGGTGTTTGCTCTCAACTGCCCTGTCTTTTGGCTGTGTTAGCTGTTCATCAGGGCCATTTTTGGGTTGATTTTCCATTTTTGAATATTTTTAAAAAATACCTGTCTTTTATTGTTAAAAAAACCCAAAAATATTCCAAAAAAAGAAAATACTCTTCTGTTGGTGTGTGCTCTCACTTGCCCTGTCTCGTGGCTGTGTTTGGTCCACATCAGGGCCAGTTTTTGGTTAAGTTTCCATTTTTGAATATTTTCTAAAAATACCTGCCTTTTATTCTTAAAAAAAACCAAAAATATTCCAAAAAAAGAAAATACTCTTCTGTTGGTGTTTGCTCTCACTTGCCCTGTCTCGTGGCTGTGTTTGGTCCACATCAGGGCCAGTTTTTGGTTAAGTTTCCATTTTTGAATATTTTCTAAAAATACCTGCCTTTTATTCTTTAAAAAATACAAAAAATATTCCAAAAAAAGAAAAGACTCTTCTGTTGGTGTGTGCTCTCGTTTGTCCTGTCTCGTGGCTGTGTTTGGTCCACATCAGGGCCAGTTTTGGGTTAATTTTCCATTTTTGAATATTTTCTAAAAATACCTGTCTTTTATTCTTAAAAAAATACAAAATATTCGCTTTAACGAATCGATTCGTTATTATTTCAATATCGAATCGAATCGTATTTAATAACGACGTTTCGGAAGCCGCTTTTGCGCATGCGCGATCGCGTCCGCCATTTTAACGAATCGATTCGTTATATCCTTAACGAATCGACCCGCGCCAATAACGAAGCTTCGGAAGTGTTTTTGCGCATGCGCGGGGGTCCGCCATCTTTACAAAATGTTTTGTAAATATTTACGAAATTTCGTAAATACCGAAACTTTTTTTGGGAAAGTTTTGTAATTATTTTAAATATCGAAACAAAAAAACACCCCAATTACAAATCAATTTTAGAAACAAATTTTTTCTTGATCAACCAGGCCTAGTATATATGCAAGTATTATAATTAATAAATAATCCTGTTTGATGGTTATTTATGAACAGGCATGGAGCCCATGCATGCTATCTCCACCTCAGAAATCTGTTCCATACTTCCTATTCCCGGTTTTGCTGATCTGTGAGGCATGATAGGAAGAAGGGTTTTATTCATGCTTATTGAATGCCAATACATCTGTCCACATAATTAGGAATGTAGCTTTTCCTGGACAGCAGATGAATTATATATTATTACACAGACTGGCAGTACCTTTAGTGTCCTTCACCCCAGGACCCTTCCACACAGCCATATAAAACAGAATATCAAGACAGATAATCCACAATATCTGCTTTGAACTGGATTATCTGAGTCCACATGACCATATAATCCAGTTCAATGCAGGTTTTATACAGTTGAGTGGATGGGACCCCAGCTAAATGCTGGGATGAAGGTGACTAACCATCTTCCTGACTCTTGACAACCATTATAGGTTTGTAATCAGAATCGGGGATTACAAGAAGAATAAATGTGTTGAAGCCGCTAACTGAGCAGTGGTAGAATGAACCTAAGGGATCGGAAATATCATACCACTTCTCTACTGAGTGGTTTTGTCTTTTTTATATATGTATCCTATTTAGAATTAACTTATTTTCCAGTCTATTTAGTGAATCACCATCATTGTCTAGTGGGAAAAGTGATTTGGTGGGATACCTGTTGTGGAAGTCAGATTTCTTTTTCCTCTGGATGTTCCCTTCTCTCTGAAGCCATCAGAACTTGGTCAACCCCAAATCTATTCCAGAAGGCTGGAGATCCTTTGGAACAGTATGGGAGTAGCACAAGAAACTGTATAGGAAAATAGTGAATATCAGCTCTCCCTTTGCTCATGGGAGCATCCAGTGGAACAGTGGAAATACACAATTGGACACAACCCAATGGTCTAATATTAGCTATTAATTTCAAAAGAAGTCTGCATCATTTTCTCTTTTGCCCCCCTCCCCACCCTTACTGTATTAATTCCATCTAGCATCACATAACAATTACAGTTCCTATAAATATATTTGAGGTTTGTTAGGCACGAGAGAAACTTGACTATTTCAAAATCAGATCAAGAAGTGAAAGAAACCATTTCCAATTATTTTGACAGGGATGTTTTCAACCTGACACCAGACTGTAATAGATAGCTTCATGATCTAGTAGAAAAAATAGTATTGCTTATTGCTATCCTCTGAAATGTTCCTATATTTTCTCCTAATAGGTTCCTTTGCAACTGCCCACCTGGTTACTATGGTTTACTTTGTGAGCTGGATGTAAATGAGTGTGAAATTCTTCCTTGCTTGCATGGTGGAAGCTGCTTCAATCACCCAGGGGGCTATCAGTGTGTCTGCGCTCCTGGCTTTACAGGTATAGTACATTTGCAGAATGTTGCAGAAAAAAGCAGGTCACATCAGAATATCTGAGCTTTGGAACACATCCCATGGTTGTGCCAATGTCAAAGATGAGCATAAGAGGTCACTGGCTTCTTGAAATACAAATCAATGTTTACCCCAGTGATTCTTGGATCTGCATCTTGTTAAGCATCTCTGGACCTTATTTACGTCATTTCTGATTTATTGGTTCTTTACCAATCCAGATACTTAGCTGAATTACATTAAAATAAAGGTTACATAGTGCAGAGCAAAAATCAATATTTTGTGAATTGAGCCAAGAAAAATAATTATTGGTATAGCTCTTGAGTATGTTTTGCAAATGCATATATCACACCCTTTTTCCAGTTTTCCCTATTTTTATCACAGTTTGGATGTTTAGTGCAACAACATAAATCTGGGCAGATGAAAAATAAATTGATTAAAATCTGATATTAAAAAGAAACTCTTTTACATTTGAATTTCTAATTATTTAATGTTTGCCTTCCTTAATTTGCTCTACTGAAAATTTAGCAGAGATGAAGATCTTTAAAGTTACACAGAAGCTACAATGCTTTATTTACTGAGGTGTGTAGTAATGAAATAAGTGGATCCTCCTAGCAAAAATGTTGGTGTTCATGATATATGGCTGGTGTGTTATAGATACCTGGGGTTGCCTTTGAAGACTGTTTGGAAGCTTCAAATAGTCCAGTAGGTGGTAGCCAGATTGCTTACTGAAGTGGTGTTCAGGGAGCATAGCACTCCCCTGATACATTAGCTCCACTGGCTGCCAGTGTGCTACTGAGCACAATTCAAAGTGCTGGCTTTAGCCTATAAAGCCCTAAATGGTTCTGACCCAGTTTACCTGTTCAAATGTTTCTCCCTCTATGACCTAACTCGGAGGTTAAGATTTTTGGGGGAGACCCTGCTCTCAGTTCCATCCTCCTCACAAGTCCGACTGGTGGGGATGAAGGACAGGGTCTTTTCAGTGGTGGCCCCTCATTTGTGGAACTCCCTCCTCAATGAAATCAGAACAGCCCCCTCCATCTGTCTTTCAGAAAAAAACTTGAAGATGTACTTATGAGACCAAGCATTCAGGCAGTAACTATAGCAGTGCAATAACTGAGAACTCTTAATGGACTGATTCTGGACTATGATTTTGAACTTGCATGATTTTAATTGCTGTTTTAATCATTTATCTTTTCTTGTTGGTTTTTAATTGTAATTGTTATATTTGGAATTTGTTTGTTGGGCATCAAATTGCTGTCAATTGTGAGGCTGCCCTTAGTCCCTTCGGGGTGAGACGGGTGGGGTACAAGTATGGGACATAACTAACCAAATAAATTAATAATGTATACATAAGGATTGGAAAGTATTATTTTAATAATGAAGTTCATAGCTAGATAATATTAGAGAAACAGTGTATTCAGTATATTAATTATCTTTTATCTCCTGTAATCCTAAGATTTCAGCTCCCATCAGCTTCAATCTAAATAGCCAATGTTCAGAGGTGATGGAGGGACCCAGCAGAGGTCGTGGTTTGAGAATTGGTCCATGACTCTGGAAACCAGGGTTTGAACTCTCACTCGGCCAGGTCACACTCTCTCGGTCTAAAAGAAAGGCAAAGACAAACTCCCTCTGAACCCAATTTGCTGAGAAAAACTAGCAATGAGTTGGAAATGACTTGAAGACACAACAACAAGGGATGCAAAGGAACCAAAGTTTTCCCCACTTCTGAGCTGAGAATTAGAAAGTATTTGAGGTGTGTCTCATTACTGCTATCCTCTGATGGCACTCGGCAGTCTTCCATGGCTTGCCTGGGTCTGTGTGCCAATGTGGTCACCCAAAGCTGAAGAAAGTTTCATTAGTACTACATCAACACTGGTGATTTATCTCAACAGCACACAGTCTTGAAGATCATATTTTACAGCTCTAAAATAAAGAGAAAAGCTTAGAAATAAAGTTTACTATTTTGGACCCAAAATTCCACAATTAGCTGGTGAAAGGAAAGGCATGCAGGGTGCCTCAGGCATCACGTGCACCCTCCCACCATCACATGGTGGGGACAGGACAGGGCGCATTGACACCCTGTTCCCCATCATATGGGAGAAAGGGCAGCAACACACAAAGGGCAGCAACACACATCAACCACCATTTCCCCCACCAAAACACATTTTTCTCCCCTAGGTGGATTTAGTTGACACTTCCACTCCACTTTGGGAGTAATGTGGGTGGGACCTGCTGAGCGTTTTCTAATGGCTCTCAACAGTCCCTATCCAGGTTGCAAAAAAAAGCAGCATAACTTGGCTATTTAGCCCCATGTGAGGATTATTATTCCAAATAGCAGAAGGGAAACCCCCTCACTTTTCCCACAGGAACGCTCAGCTATTTTACCATCAGTGGAACACAAGGCAAGCCTTCAACCAGTCTTCACCAGCCCTGTCATCACACTATTCATAGCTCAGCAAGCATTTATTGCCTGCCCAGGGCATACAAAAACACCATTGATTTTGCAACATACAAAAGGCTAGAATCAATTGGTAGTTCCAACTAGTGGATCAACTAAATCTATTGTTGAGTGCTATATTGACACATAAGTAGGCCTCACTGAATAAGTGAGTTTAAATTTATTGGGATTATCAATTGGATTTAGATGAGTGTATCTGACCAGAAGGTCTCTTGTATATGGGTGGGAGAACCTCATCTCATCCATATATCATCTATGGCCCCATATGTCTTAAGGATTATTTATCTGGCTGTGGCAGTTTTCTATGACTTTATTTTTTTTGTATTGTATCTGTTCATGAGGTCCCTTTCATAAGATTCCTATTGTTCCTTTTTTTTCATTGCCAAGTAAGCATTAAATTCTAACAGATGTTGCTACTGAATTTAATTTATATGGCTTGTGAGAAATTATGGAAAAGTACCTTATAACCTCAATGCAAACTATTTTCATTAGCCAGCCTGAAGGAAAATGGTATTTTAGGAACATGTAAACTATGAGCATGGGGAAATGTACAATTCCTATCATGCAGTAAGCTGACACTCAGCATTGGAAAAAATATTGACAGCTTGGAAATTTGAAAAACTTGTATTTTTAGAAAGGCACTATAGAGCTATGATGATGCATGACTACTTTCTATGTTTTATTGGCTTTATGTCACCTAATTCATAAGAAACGAAAACATATTGTTTGTGAGGGTGCCAACCTTCTCCATTTTGGATAATGAAAAAGACAATTTAAAAAGTCAATATGTCAGCAGTTTAAAGGCACTAGATTTATGAGGATATAACCAAGCAATATATTTAGCTGATTAAAAAGCAAATATGTTTCCAACAGCCTCTTCCTACTTTAATATACATGTGTGTGTATATATATAGAAATATCTACACATATTTTGCACCAGAGAGATCTGATATGCAGGCATTTTGTCAACAGCATTATGTCCAGTGTTGTCAAGTTATGACATTTGTAAGCAATGCCTTTGCTCTTTCTTTGTGTACATATAGCTTATCAATCATTTTGGTTACTTGTCTGTTAGTTGTCAATTCAAAATTAAAGCAGCATAAAAATTGCACACATTATAACAGTTACAATAATGTGAACATAATACAATTTGAGCATGCCTTATCTGGATTTTACAAGTCTAAAATACTCCAAAGTCTGAAATTGTCCACATAGGTAGCTGAGATATTGGCATGTTTGCTTCCGGAGGGTTCATTGTACATGAATTTTTTATGCAAAAAAATGTATAAAATTGCCTTCAAACTATGCTTATATGAAACAATAATTAATTATGTATTTAGACTTTAGTCCCATCTCAAAGATATCATAATGCACATATGGGGGAAGGGGTGTTGAAATCCAAAACATTCCTGCTAAGGGATCACCTAAGGATTCTCAAACTATCCTCTGCGGAGCACTTGGGGCTCTGTGGGTGATAGAGATGCTCTGCGGCACCATGCTGCTTCCCACCTCTTTCCTCCAGGGAAAGAGGGAAAGGCAGGGAAATTAAAGTTTTGAGCTGCAGAAAACAGCAGAAGCATCTTCCTGGGGCACAAGCCATTTTTCCTTGCTTCCTTCTCTGCCCTCTCTTTTCCTTGCCACCCAGACCATTTCTTCCTGCCTCTCTCACTGCCCAGACTCTTCCTTGCTACCCAGACCCCTTCCTCCCTCGCTGCACAGACTCTTTTTCTCACTGCGCAGACCCCCTCCCCCCACTTTCTTTGCTTCCAAAACCCTGTTTCCCTTCCACTGCTCAGGTGGTGCTTTGATCGTGTTTTTCCTGCATGGCAATAGAGGGTTGGACTGGATAGCCTCTGGGGTTTCTGCTGTTGCTACTGTTGTTGTTACAAAGGCTTGATGGCCATCTGTTAGGGGTGCTTTGATTGTGTTTTTCCTGCATGGCAGCAGGGGATTGGACTAGATGGCCTCTGGGGTTTCTATTATTATTATTATTATTATTATTATTATTATTATTATTGCTACTACTATAAAGGCTGGGTGGTCAGCTGTTGGAGGTGCTTTGATTGTGTTTTTCCTGCATAGCAGAAAGAAGCTGGACCAGATGGCCCCAGGGGACTTCCTCTGAAATACTGTTAAGCTTATGTTGTTTAAAATTGTTTTTATTTTAAATATTGTATTTTATTGTTCTTACTTTCCTTCCCCCCCCCCTTTCTTTCACTGTGTGCATTACTTCACACAAATGCTTTCCATCCATCTGTCATTGGCCCAGCCCATGTCTGATATATATACATTATGCATAATGTAATATATGATATAATATAATATATAAACATTTCTTGGGGCTCCACAAGAAACATATGCTTCAAAAAGGGCTCCACAGCTGAAAAGGTTTGAGAACCCCTGACCTAAGGAATACTCAACCTGCATGAACATACAAGTCACAATTGTGCATCTTTCACAATTCCTGCAAGCTAATGTGATAATGTGATTAATGCATTTTTAAAAAACAAAAACAGACTTTTTTCATGGAA